CCCATAAGCAGGTCAGATGATCTGAGCTGTTCTCTGTCTGACACAGAGACTGACAGGCAGCTCTCTGAACTGTAAGTTTCTTGTGTGAATCTCTTACAGACATTTGCTTCACGCTGTGTTTTCCTTCAGGTAAAAAAAAAGTTTGGCAGTTTTCTCTCTGAGAGTCATCTTTCAGTTTTCTCAAGTATTTTCCAGTTATTATTTTACTGAAGTTTTGACATAGTTTCCATCACATTCTGCATAAATAAAATCCATTTTCTTTCACGTGTTTACATATTTATTTTTGACACACAGGACACGCTGCTGCGCGTTTGAGTGACAGCCGCTGCGTCTTTGCCTTATTATGCTTTTTTCTCTTCTCTCCTCCTCCTTCTGCACAGAATGCAGAGAGAGAAATAAGGAGGCATTTTCTAATGGTTGTAAATTGCAGCCAATAAAAAACGTCCGTCAATTGTTTCCCTTTCTTTTTTTTCCTTCTTTGTATGTCTTGTTATAATTTGATCAGTCAAATGCGGGACTTTGTTTCAACTTGCGCGACACCGGTACAAGAGTGAAATGTGAGACAGTCCCACACAGTTTGCCTGGGGCTGTAGGTAAATTACAGTTATACATATATATATATATATATTATAACTGTCCTCTGTTGTGTGGATGAGAGAAGAGAGAGGAGCTGCTGCAGCAGCTCTCCTCCTGTCCGAGTGCGCAGTGCGTTCACCGAGGGACAGCGCACAGGAGCTGCGGGCACGCACGTGTGTGTGTGTGAAGGGAGGGTGAGGGCAATATTAATAATATTAATACTGTTGCCATTATAGTTGCACACTTAATAAGAAGTGCAACCAAGGGCGACAGATGGAGCGTAAAAAAAGGCGTGTTCGACAGGGGCACTTAGTGGTCTGCAGGGAAAAGGGCAGGTGCTCGAGCACCACCTGACGTCTATCTGTGCACGACCCTGGATCTCATAATATCACACTGTTACTAAAATAACTTTTTTATAACTTATAATGTTGATTCTGCTCACAAGATGATCAGTGTTGCCAGGTCCACTTATTATAAGTGACTTTGGGCTTCTTTTTTTCTTAAGANAAAAAACACACAAATACTGGACGTAGAAAATATCTGAATAAACCGACCTGTCTGACAAAGTGACTATTTTGTTTATGATGCTCAATCATTACATTAGTGTCTGTCATTAGTGAGTCTACATGATAATTTCTGAATTATTATGCAGTCTAACTAGTCAACAATCCAATAAAGTCCATATTTACATGTTTAATATCGGTAAATAATATATTTGATGCGTAATATTTACCTGTGAAATATAATCCTTTTATCTCTTCTAAACATGTAACAATTTCTGCATTTTATAGCAAAGTATTTGAACCAATTGTACGTTTACAAAGCATTTGTTTGCACCGCGCTACGTTCTGCTCATTGATTTCAATGGTTAGTGTTAGCATTAGCTCAATGTATAAAAATCCCCCCTGCAAAGCATGCCCAGGTCACGTGACACCCAATCCAGTCATATATGTCAGTGATCATGTTGTTCTGATTGATGGAGGGTTTGACACAAATGTTGGATGAAACTAAAGCTAAAGAGGACAGGCAACAAGAAACGTTCTTGTCAGCAGCAGGATTTGAACCGTTTCTTTCCTCTGCTTCATGTGTGGGTGTGTGCAGGAGGCCCAGCTGTTCAGTGTGGAGGAGGAGCTGACTCTGAAGGAGGCACAGTGGCTGCAGGAGGAGGCCCGGCTGCAGAGCACCGTCACTGCTTTGGAGCAGGAGCTGGAGCTGGAGAAGGAGCAGCATGGCAAGGAGGTACAGCAGCTACTGAAACACTTTCTGGCTCATGGTTTTTGGGTTCTTAATACTTTTTTGTCTTTATAGATTATGTAAACACTCCAGAAATATCAGACATTAATAATAGATAATAGTTTGATTACACTAAAATTAAATAGTTATTATAAAAGCACTTCATGTTGAAACTAAAGGCCTTTCTAATACATTTCACCTGCTTTATTTTATTCCAGAGTTTAAACAAAGATCATCTTATCTTATCTTATGACACCAAACTTTACGTTGATATCTGTAAAATTAACTGAGCTTGAGCTGTTTGTGTTTGTTAAAGGCTGTTAGCTGTGAGGACCATCTTATATTGGGTTGACTCTAAAGTTAATGAGATACAGACGTCTATCCAATGATTACTTCCTTAGAATCCATTAAATGGTTCATGTTCATGTTAGCACGACACACAGACAGAACCTTTAGTGGTGTTTTGGCTTCAGTGGTGGGCCATGTAGAACTGCATCTCTGGCCCTAACCTGATTCA